ATGCCAATGCAAGAAAGTATTGTGGTAAGCTATTATTAGAAAGATATCATGTGCAAGAGTATGTTTTGGAAATGTAGCCACATTTTATTTACCTATACGGGAGGAAGTTAGTGAATGGAGAAAATAGCCATATATTTTACAACCTATTAGTGGTTGCTGCATCAATCTTATTGCTAAAACTAGTTCCGAATTTCACTACCTACTGCAACAGACACTTTCATTTCTGAAACATGTTTAATGAATCCACAATTATAATGTTTATATGCGAAAACATAATCATATAGCTAGTAGCTACAGATTTCTATAACGGCACACGGGAGTCGGTTTGGTCGCTTGATATGCACATTTATTACGATTTACATGTACTTTTCATTTAAAGGTCACCACTTGCAATTGATAATTCTGAAAACATTTACATTTCCCTTCCTCTCAAGTACCACGCATGATGAACATAATTACAATAGGAAGAGAAACACAATAATGTTTATATATATATATGTATATATATATATATATATATATATATATATATATATATATATATATATATATATAACTTTAGTCCCTACTTTCTACTAATGAAATTCGATTGTTGTGTGCACGATCATATGAGAAATGGTGAACATAAATCCACATCGTTACCAATACATTTTTCTTACGTTTAAACGTGACTGTACCTCTTTTTTGTACTAAAAAGCAAATGAAGAGTTAATCTACAACACTCTCAAAAGTTGTAATTTTACTCTGCTTTTTTGTTTTCACCTATATGAGACTTAACGCTTGATGATGTTAATCACAAATCAGTAGGATAAACGACTAGTAATTGGAAATTTACACGTTCAGACAAAGCAAAGAGAAATATGACATCCAAGGTGATTAACACTGATAAATAAATATAGGAAAAGGTTACCGAAAGGAATAGAATACTGAAATTGGAACTTTAACACAACTCTGTGGGATAGTTTTAAGACGAAAAGGAGTTACCGTTAGAATATGAATTATTACGCTATGATTAGTGTCTGAGGGAAAAGTCGTACTTCTTGTTAAATGGGCTGTGACAGCAGAAGTGCTTTCCTAGGATGACCAGCAGAACTACGCAGATGCTAACTTCCCAACGGGAAGGGAGCGTAGCTTAGAAAACACTGTCTGTCCTCCTCAACTCGGTCTCCTCCTTTGCCCTCGCCTCCTAATTCTAGTATTAAGCCTCTTAAACCTTATTCCTCTTAGGACCCTACAATCGATTTTATGTAGAAGCTTTGAACATCCGAACTCTGTGCAAAATCGGACAGAAAGCATCGCTCGAGAGAACTCTGGAATCTACAATCATTGATGCATGCTGCCTCTCTGAGACATGCACACAGCAACAGAGTAACAGTCTGACAAAATCAACGTAGAATCTCCCATATAGGTGCATCGGTCCAAGTTGCAACTCCTCGCAGAACCACACAAAGAACAAGTGGATAGAAAAAGTGACATCAAAGTACATAAAGTTGTGGGAGAGAACAAACAATCTGAAGATAAAGGTTAGTGTGAATATTCAGACTACAGATGTCAAGGAGTGACCGATTTTCAGCCATATCCCCAAGTGTCCTCAACCACTGATTCCTTTTGTCTCGGGGACCCCAACCAAGTAGTCTACATCGCTCCGAGTATGTTTACTAAATTGGTCTCACCTGGTCATAGTAGTGAATCTTCAAAACTCACCTTAAGAGTATACGGAGACCCAGTGACTGGCTCTCGTGGACTCGCATGCACAGGCACTACATTGAGTCGTAGAGCGGAAAGCGCACTTCTCGACTGGATATCAGTCGAATATCATCTATAGGCTGTTTGACGGAGTGGATCTGTAAGAAATAGGAAGTATTTTGACAGAGTTCGGACGACGCAGAGGAGGAATCCGATCGAAAGCTGACAATTTTGCAACTAAAAGCAAAACGTTTAGATACAGTTGTTATGGTAAGTGACTTTAACGTCCAAGTAGGTATCCACGGAATTCCAGTCAACGAACCAAAAACAGTGGTCGTCTGCTGCAATTTTTTTTACTATGATCAGTTGTTTCGAGCCAGAACTTACTTTGAGCATAAGGAGAGGCACAGCCTCACATGGCGTCAGTCGAACGAACGTCAAACGAACAACGACCACAGATAGATAGATAGGGGATGGCATGTCTTTCTGAAGTACCAGTTTGGACTCCAGTCACGCGCTCCTACAGCCTCGTAAATGTCTGCACTTTACATGTCGCTGGAAACAGGCAATATCAAAGCCAGTCTATGCTCGATTGGAAGATGAGGACGTCAAGTATGCATTTCAGAAACAGTTAGCTAAGCATTCATCTGAAAATGAGAGCGATCATCATACTTAGGAAACCTGGTGTGATGTTAGGTCTGCTGAAGAAACAGAGGTAAAGTTAATTGGTTACATGCATCCGAAGGTTAACAAACAACACTGAATTTCCACGACTTCATTCAAACTGATAGGCGCGAGGAAACTGATCACAGCTGGCTCTGACGACGATGAAGAGCGAATGTAACTTAAACAAAAGTTGACCAAGAGTCTTCGTGTCTATCCCGAATAGTGGTGGATGGCGAAAGTGAGAGAGATGAGGAAGGAGTCAGCATTGTGTAATAACCACCAACTATTTAGACTCTTTACGGATATCAGCAAGAAGACGATGGTCAGTGAACCTATCACCAAAAGCGATGATTCCCTGATAACTCCAGAGGACAGGAGACTAGAGTGTTGAGTGGAAGACTTTGAAGCACAGTTCAACTGGTCCACAGCAACTCTTTAGTCGTCCAGCTTCCATCATGAAGCTGAGTGGCATGTAGATGTTGGCCCACCAACTGGCCTAAAAGTTGAGAAAGCTGTTTTACACATGAGACGATGCAAGTACCAGGAGCTGACAGTTTGCCACTAGAAACTTTTAGCGACGTAGGTAGGAAATTGCCGATTCAATCGACGAAGATACTAAGTAGTGTGTATGAATCAAAGGTAGTGCTTCCAGACTGGTTTACTTCGCTGAACATGCCAGTATATAGGAAAGTAGAGATGTATTCCTGTGACAACCATGAGGGAATTAGTATGATTAATATCGTGTCCAAGATCCTTGGGTCCATAGTTATCCAATGTCTAAATGGAGCTCAAGAACAACAAACTCGAGAAAAGCAGGTAGGTTTCAGACCTGGATAAGAATGCATCTATCATATTCTCACCCTCCAACAGGTTCTGGAACATAGGCATACTTACCGACAGCCAACGCTTGCCAAATTTTTTGACCTGAAGACGGTATTCAATTTTGTCGACCGTGGTGTTATGGCAGTGTCGTACTGTGAAGGGAGTACCGAGGATATATACAAAAGCTAATTAAAGTCCTCTACTCGAACTCACTCGACCATATCAGGGCTTACGGAGAGTTGTCCTGTGAACTGATGACAACTAGCGGTATCAGCCAGAGATGTTCTCTGTCAATTTCTGTTTAACCTCGTTATATAATAACTTATGTAAGTCTGACTTCACAGAAATTGCATAAGCGTACGTAAACGACGTTGTCGTGCTAGGTGAAGGCGTTGACAAAATGTAGGATCTTTGGGATGTGTTGAGCAGAAATATGAGTATGTTTGACTAACAAGTGTTTCAATGGCACCTATCAAATGTAAGAGGGTGCTTCAGAACTGTTTTGCTGCAAGTACTACCAGTTTAATAATAGGGAATGAAACGGTGGAACGTGTCAACCACTTCACTTGGGGAGTTGCATCAGTCGGAACGGGCTGGATGCCGATGAAATTTCAGCCCGCTTACAGAAGGCCCGTTTGGTACTGGTTAGCTTGCATCGCCTCTGATCCCGGTGGCAAGATATCTGACTAACTATCAAAGAACGAGTATACTGAGTTGCATTGCGTTCAGTTCTGTTGTACGGCTGTGAGACATGGCCACTGAAAGTAGAGGATATGAAGCGGTCATAGCGTTTTCACCACAGGTGCCTTAGTAGCATTGCTTGCGTTTGATTGAATCACTGTGTGAGCAACGTTGGAGTCAGGAAAAGGTTCAAGGCAATAAAGGTAAGTCGATTGATGAGGTTGTGAACCTCAGTCGACTGAGACGGTGTGAATATGTAATGTGCATATTTAGCTGAAAACTAGCTTGACGTGGAATGCTAGGGTAGTTGGATTAGGTTGGAAAAAGGTTCAGGGTGGTCAGACCAAGCCGTGGCACCAGTCGATGAAGTCCCTAACCGTTGGTTTGAGCCGTGTAGAGAGATGTAGACTCGCTCGCTGGCTAGGGTCCCCAAGACGAAAGGAATCAGTGGTTGAAGAGTCTTGGTGAAATAATTGAAAATTGGTCGAGGTGGTGCAGATTTATTCCCTCTTTGACACCTTATAGGGTTTGAATAGTTGATCTAAACTACATCTTTAAACTTGTTTTTCTTCTACACAACTTTTTCTACTGTGATATCACTCTTTCCTACCCATTTATTGTTTGCATACTACTGTGAAGTGTAGCAAACTGAACCAGTGCACTTGTGTGCGACGTTCTACGTTGATTTTGTCTATCGGACAGTAAGCATCTACCCTATGACTATTCAGACCAATAATTAACCAATTCATAGGGTGGTAACGTGCACTTGATTGGCTATTGTATGGTCCTTCTGGCTTAAACATGGTTCGGTTAACACATGTGAATTTGGTGCTGGCTAAGAATGCCCAAGATATAATAATACAAGTCGGTTAAAGTTCATAACTCAATTGATTGGCCTGAATTTTTTGCCTAGTACTCTGCACTCAGATTCAAGACTACTTAATATGTGGCTCCCTACATCCCGGTTTGGTGTAACTACGAATACTTTTGTACAGTTGTAGATCAAGATTTTATCCACAAATTCTTCATTTTTAACCTACTTTCGGTTTTTCTATGCATCACAGTTTTTTTTTGAATTTTCATCCCTACAATTTATGATTAAGTTGATTAAGTTCTATCAATTCACTTTTCCGTCGAAGAGTAATTTAAATGCCTGATAAAACTGTTTTATTGATATCAGACACTTTACTACATGAATCTACCAAAAAACTGAGCTAAATCAATATCGGACATTCACAAGCCATCATCTTTGTAAAAGATCAATTTGATACAGACTATAATTATGTCAACTCTAAAACAACATGGTCATGAAAACCATAAAAGCAGAAAACAAAAACTTCCGAAAGAACGCTAAATCAAATGCATTTGACTAGTTTGAATTCCAAAGAGTATAGTAAGAATTTCCAGTTAGATAAATTAGAAAGTTGCCATTCAAAAATACAAAGGAGTGTTGTTAGCAACTTGATCAGTTTAAAATGAGAAACTTTCGACACGTATACCTCTTAAAAGTAAATTAAGCAAATTTAAAAATAATATGAGATAATAATACACTGTACTCACCTTGTGATTATTAGGAAGATTGTCATAAGAGATAAGTGCTGGCGGTGAGAGTGAAGGATTAGAGTAGTTTACTTGACAATCAGCTAAACTAGGTGTAGTACACTGAAATAAGTCAACTTCAGCTTGGCAACACGATAGGTTGCAAGTAGTTAGATCAGATGCTAAGTCACAAGATATGACATCAACTAAGTCTGAGTTTTCACTGCGATATCCATTGAAACAAGTACAAAAACGCTTCAAGTCTGAAGTAACAGCACGTACAAAAGTTGGAGAATCCGCGTAAGCAAGTAAATGCAATGGCCACAAAGAAGGAGAACTATATTTAAAAAATTGAAATAATTTCAAGGAATGAATAAAAATTAGAAATATGCCAATAGTTAATCGAAATTGCTAAAGAAAAATCTATTAATAAAGAAAGCAATCGTAGGAAATAGGACTGAGATCAATAATCTGATACCGATGCATGTACTAGACTGTCATCCACAACATTGCTGAAGTCAATTCAAACTACTCAGTAGGAATAGAAGAGATCTGAGATGTTATGATCAGTAGTTAAATGTCTAGACCACTGAATCACAGATGCACAACAACGAGAACAGCAGCTATTCGAGGCAGTAAAAAGATATGATTATATGATGATTGCTGAGTTGAAAACAACACCATACACCTGAAAGAAACTATTCAAAATTTAATCCGTTTTGAAAGTAAATTATATGTACTTTTTTTGAGTCAATATATATTCATATTACTTAGCGATTACCGTCAAAAATTTTAATAGATACCTCTCAGAGTTTACGCGTGTAGAGCTGCAGGATTGAACTTATTCTGGAGCTGAAAACAATTTTAACTTAAACTACAAAAGTCACATCAGAATTACGACTGCATCCCAAAATGACTATTATTTCTTGAATGAAGATAAGCCCAAATAAATAATTATTTATACCAATCTGCACTAACGACCCTAAACATTCCTTTATAGTTTGGAATTAATAACATAACACTGATAGGGTGGATAACATAATCTACAAGTAATAACAAAATCATCTTAGAATATTTAATCCAATATATCGGTAACTAAAATTAAGGAAATACTGTGTCAGTGAAAATTTTTTAAGCAAAATTAAAAAATGTAAAATTACCGAGGTGTAGTAATTGACAGACTGACTGCATTCAAAACATGAACAGGCAATGTAGAAATAAAATCTTGAAGTTGATGAGAGTTACAGAGACTTAGAGAAGAAAGTGGTTTATACACATCAGAATTTGTTTCATTTGGGTTTATACGTGCATCGGATGTAGAGGTGGAGATTAAATTATATTCAATTGTTTGTGCATGATGAGTTGGCGTTACAACTGAAGTTGTTGCTAGACTGTGGGCTGACAAACCTAAATGAAGGCTTCTGGGCAATGTACCACATTCTTCTGCACTGATTTCTCCGAAAAGGCTATCATTACGAATAAGCAGCGAAGAAGAATCATCTGACTCTTCAATGCTCAATTCAGCTGCCTCAGCCTCAAACAACTCAGAATTCTCAAAAACAAGAGCAACCAGGTTAATACATTCTGTATCAGGTGATAAGCATTCCCGTTTAAACCAACAAAAAGTTCTTGGGGCCATTTCTTACTGAAAAAGAAAGACAAAACATACAAAATCACCATTACGAGACGTTGCATTGCACACAAGAAAACAATTTGGGGCGAGTAAATTATAAACAAAGTATATTCACAACCTTAAAGAAAACCATGTTTCATCGAGTGTTCGAACCCGTGTCACTGTTTGGTGATTAATTCCTGTTTATGATTATGCACTATAGCATCGAGCTAATAGAAAAGAACTGGAAGATAGTATACACTTATAGAGTTGAGCTTAGTTGAAATCCAAGAACATTAGAATCTATAAGTTATCGATCGAAGAGTGACCAATATTGAGTTCGTGCTTACCGAATTCTATCAAATAAGTCTGTAATGTGCTCACCAAGATGCGTTCTCGATAACACATTATATGATATTTAGGGTTCAATGGTCGTCTTAAGCGAAAACTAAATAACACTTTCTGCGCTGCATAGTTTGCATTAAACAGTGTAGTAGTTACAGTTAGTCAGTTTTCCTATATTTTATTATTTTTCCCTTGGGTTCCTAGTGGAAGGAACATTGGGCTTCACTAGCACGTCACCATTGCACTCTCTTCTCCACTGTCCTTCTAACCTGCCTTCGCGACTGCCCACTACCTTTCATTTCTTCAAATCACCATCTCCTCCATGTCACACTCACACACTCAACTCGTCGTTTTCCCTTTCGAATCCACTCGAGGGCCTCGTCTGCTGCGTGGTGTCCCCAAACCGTCCTCTCAGTGTATGTCCAATCCAATCCATCTCCACTTTCTTCTGCATATTTGTTGCGCGATAAATTCTCATTCGGTTCGTTGCCAGGCCAGAGTGAGTTCCTTGTTGCTTATTCTTATTATTCTGCTCATCTGATCTTCAGCATCGAGTCAGTGTAGGCAACAGCTGTTGACGAATGTCTGCAGTCTGTTGGAAATGCTTTTCGTAACGCGCCAAGTCTCTCAACCTTCACATAGAAGCACTGAATTAGTGTTGAAAATCCGGATCTTGTTCATGCTTTATGCTGAGTGCAGTGCGGTGCAGTGCTGTGCAGTAGATCTCCACACTGATTTCACGTTAGTGAATGCCTGTTTTGCTGGCTTTTCCGATCCTGGCTTTGAAATCCTCATCTGTGCCTGTGTCCTGTGTCGCCACCTGTAGTTGAAACGATGCTGCCTCGCCTAAGTAGGTGAAACAGACAACTTCCTTTAGGTTTCTCCTGTTCATGGTGATTGGTGCTTGTTGTTGTTGTTGGTTGGGTATCTTCATCACCACTGTCTTCTCTACGTTCACATGAAGGAAGTCCCATCTTCGCTGCCCTACCCTGTCCTGCCCTGCCTCTTCTCCCAACATGTTAGTTTTCGCCTGTAGATCTTCGAGTTTGTGTGACAATACATGAGACATAAATCATCATCGTCGGCGAAATCCAAATCTTACTCTGGGGTCTTTTCATCGGTCCAACCAGCGTATGCCCACCTTCTCGCTCCTCACAGTTTGTTGTATGACACAGGTGTGGTTAGTAATAGTTCTACTAATAACAGTTATAATGGTGACATGGTTGAAGGAGAATTCAGACGCCACTTTGTTACCATACAAAGAAGGTATCTCAGGAGAGTTATGAAGAATTCTCAATAAGACTGAGGTTAGAATGATATTCAAATCAACAGACTCGCTCAGAAACAAGCTTTGTGGGTTTAAAGGATCCTATTGATCCGATTAGGCAAAATAATTTGGTTTACCAATTACCTTGGAATGATTACAAGGTTAAATACATTGGTAAAGATGGTTCGACCAGGGTCAATTAGAATAACAGAGGACAGAAACTTAGCTAAATCAAGATTAGTAGATCCTACCTAATAAGATAAGAAATTTAGAGAAAAGCTCGGCTACAACTATGCAAGCTATTCCACACAATACGGTGGGACAGAGTGACAGTATTAAAAACTTAATTAGATGGAGGGAGAGATTAATAACCGAATCTTTATTTGTCGAATCAACACCAAATTTGTGCAACAGAAATAATTCTGCACCTATCCTAGATATGTGAAAAATTCTATTACCTTTGTGACATAGAAGCAGAGAAGATTAGGACTATTTAAAGCGTCTCAAAGTTGTGGAGTTACCTGATATAGACATGGAGAATAAATTATGTTCGAAACGTTATCCAGTAAATAGTACTGTTTCACTGTCGTATTTCTAATAAGCAGACTAAAATGGAATGATTGTACACAATGCAGTTGGAAGTAGCTCAAATTTAGTCAAACCGTGAAAAAAATCATTCATTTACCATAGTTGCAATAATACCTCAATTTGCTTATATAATATCATACCGATAGTTTATAAATTAGTTCGTGATGGCCTTCGTCAGAAAACGACAACTTTTACACAAAAGAATGCACCACACAAAAATGATATCTGTGTTTTTTACAAATATGACATTATTCACGCGACAAATGACAGTCAAAAACGTATAAGAACAAATGAATTTTAGAATACACAATTTATTTTCAGAAGTCATACAGTACAGCGCTGTCTACAACAATTACAATCGGTAAATAAGTGGGAAGCAGCGTGAAAGAATATTAAAGCTTATTTGGAAGTGTAAAACACAGGCAAGAAAAAAAGGCAAATAATATGCTTCAGTAATATACTTCTTCTAGCAGATCTCAAGTTTAAATCCCTCGGTGAGCAGAATGTAGTTGTTCTTTCGTGCATCGAAGTACAGCACTGACTAGCCGAATAAAACCAGTATCCATGGGTTTATCCAAACCTCGTAAAAGTCTGTGGCGCATCACACCAACAAACTCTTTATAGCTAAGTTGTCCATCATCTGAAATAATAGTCATTAATAATAATAAAAACAATATATTTGCTTTATTTCGAACCATAATTATGTTTACAGTACAGAATTCTCAGCATGTGATATTGCATAAGTTTACCCATTGTACAACATTTCTTAAATAAATATTAAAAATGGTGCTATTAAGCATTACCTAATAAAGCATAACATCATTGTTGAAATGATGTTATCACCTAGTCAGATCCAAGTAATCTAACTTATCGTTTAGTTCGATTGCATACATTTGAGTGGTTATTTAATCGAACTCCGAATTCTACATGCATATACAACGAAATCATAATAATTGAGACAAATAAAGTTAAGTCGAATAAACAACAAAACCAAATGAATTAAACTTACCGTTTTCATCGAATAAGGTGAAAACAACATCTACTACATGTGGTGATAAGTGAATATTTGCTACCGTTAAAGCGACATGATTCAAAGTATCTTGATCTATAGACGCACCTGCCATGTGATAAAATGTTAGTGCAGTATCCACATCTGCAATACTTCGAAGTAGTTGACTGAAATCAAAAAAGTCTTGATAGGTAATGCCCTGTTTGTTGAATAATAAAAGAAATAAAAGATTAGATTGAAATTCACTGATGAAAAACATCAGTATGATTTCATTACAAAGCGAACAAAATTTGCAGTATAAAAAGGGCTCATTTATTTATTTTATAGCTTCTCTTCACGTAGACAAGGTGGTGAAACTCCTGTACGACTATCTAGCATCAAGTTGACACATGCCCGAACGTAGACATTTTTATAGCTTTCAGGATGATTGATAAACAAAATTCAAGAACAGTGCCTTGTTTTGATCTGTGATTGGTCAACAAATGAGCTTCACCTCATGTGTTCCGAAAAGATGAATTATTAGCCTAGCCTTCCAAATACTCTGTCACTCAGTCTATTCACTTTTATCCTATGGTGGTTCTACAATTCGTTTGGCTTCACACTGCTAACCTTTGTATTCGCTATTCACTCAACTGCTTGTCTTATGCATTACACTACTTAACACTCCTTTCACTTCCATACTAACAAGTCAATTTAAAGACCTACTTAAAAAGTAGGTCTACACATTTCTTGATAACTCTTTTTGTAATAAATATAACTAAAGTATGTTATTATTTTTAGCTTGTAATGACTCCTAGTATGCTGTAGGCAATGCACAACTGAAGAGAAACAATGAAATAAGTTAGTGGTCTATTTTTTTTATGCAAGAAATCTCACCCTTCTTTCTCTGTTTAAATGATGATGAAAGGATTCAGGAAAAGCTTTTCATAGATAACGCCTTATATAAGTGCATAGTTGGCGTAAAATTAGGATAACAGATGAGTTCTAGAGCTGTTAACCTGAAACAAACCAAATATAGACTGAAAACTCTGGAACTGAATGCAATATACAATACAATACCATGAATGATTAATAATTAAGAAGACAGTAGATTATAAATTTTGCATAACTATCAATACTGTAACATGAAATGCGTAAAATACTCAAGTAATATGTAGAGAGTATGCAACAGTATTAACAACCATGGTGTTTTTTCCACCTAATCATTTATACACAAGTGATAATGCATCCAGTGGAGTTGTAAACACACTTTCAAGGAGAACTCAGTTTGAATGATTCAAAAACTCAAAATAAGTGTCCTTAGGGAAATTATCTAAAGTTTTATCATCTGAAAACAATAGACTAAGCAACTTGAAAACAATCATTTAATAATTAGTGTTTCGATCTAAACTCCTCATAAGACAAAGCATTGCAATAACTTTGCTGTTGTCATATTTACTTGTTTCAGTGTGTCCGTTTACCCAGACTGCAAATACAAAGATCAGTTCATAAACCAGAAGGATATGAAACGTTAATTAAAATTGACTGTGACCTAACACGTCGCTTCAAGAACACGGTTTTTCATGCCATTGAGACAAGAGAAAGTATATTTTAAAAACGTAAAAATAGAAGAGGTCAATGACGCAAATTCTGCCAAAATTTTGATTTGAAGGAAGATACTATATACGTATGAAATGAATGTCAACATTTTATTCAAAAAGAGCGAAATCGGACTTCATCAAAAAATTGGAGATACGTTTTCTGAATAAATATTCTTCCACTGATAGAGGCATAAATTTAAAGGAAAACTTCACAACTGCTTAGGTCTATACAGTGAAACTTACTAAAACTTCTTAGCTTCAAGCAAACAACCAGAAATAACAGACGTTTTGTAAACAGTTCAGAATGGAACTTAAAGTTCGGCTGAAGAAAGCCCAACAAATGAGAATTTTTCATGAAAACGAAAATTTTACTATTTAGTGGTGGTGATGAAGCGGGCATTGCACAATTCTAATACATAACACTTTCAGTAATTGCCGTTTTAATGGATATATTTCTCTTAGATACGAGATGCAGGTAGTGTAAGTTTTTGTGGCCTACGGCAGGTACTCTGTTTTTGTACTGGTTCTTTTTTTCAGAATAATATAAACTCGCATAAGTGCATTTGAAGAGCCTCTCAATAGAGCAACGAGTTTAACTTGCTGCTTTGAAACGACGAAGGTTCTCAATTACCTTAAAACCAATGGAGAGGCCGAATAGATTTACGAATGTTGAGGACAAGTATTCACTAAAATTCATCACAATCATTATTGGTACTATTCCCAACCGATAGCTGCTACCTTGACGAGGTGGTCGGGCTTGCATATCACAATGACCCAATGAGCTATGCTGGCGGAACACTTGTTCCTTCGAGGTCATACTTTACCAGAAAGGTCTATTGGATAGTGGCTAGACGAAAAGGAGTTACCGTTGCGGTGTAACTTACTACACTATGATGGGGATCTGGGGGAAAAGTCATAGTGATGCTAGCTGGATGGGGTGTGAAAACAGTAAGGTGTTTCTCTTGAATGACCAGCATTACCATGAAGATGCTACATTGTCAGTGGAAGGGGACGTTAGAAAGCTCGGCCCTAAAAATAACACTCCACCATACCCCATGGTCTGCCGGGCCGGCAATGTTGGCTCTTTCGTCGTTTTTTCGAACATCCAGTACCAAAACAACAAACGTTCATATCAACCATACACAAAAGGCTACGTGTGACAGACCTCAAGCAGATGTCCGGCAGGCTCCGCGGTCACACAAATCTCCTTCAGGTACCTTAAGAAGAAATAGACTTCCACGGTACGGGAGGTCGCAAAGTGTCAACCGCCCTCACAAATCTGCCAGCAATCAAGTTCCATCAGACAGCTATCCACCTCCCCATCATTACCTTCTAATCTCCATAACGTCTCTCAATTAACGACACTACATCATCTTCAATCTCTCCTAGCTCTGCAACCCTAGACAACGATCTGAGTCCATAAAACTACGCTCCAAATTACACATCAGGGCCTTGAATGTCAAGTGCAGTTATTCACCTTACGTCTCCAGGCCAATTCGGTGAATCCGCGAAATTTACCCTTCGAGTTTCTGGAGACTCGATAGCTAGCTCTCGCGGTCTTGCAGGTGTAGGCATGGCATTAAGCACTAGGGCAGAAAACTCACTACTAGACTGAATCCCAGTTGATAGTTGCCTCTGCGCTATCCGACTGAACGGCATGGTGACAACTAACAGCAATAGTGAAACTCGCTGTTGTCTCTTTGTAATCTCTCCTTACGCACCCACTGACTGTAGTTCGGATGGAGTGAAGGACAAAATCTACTGAAAACTGTCTAGCCTCGTCTCGAAAGCCAAACGTTCGGACGTGGTGGTTGTTACAGGTGACTTCAATGCACAAGTAGGTGGGCAGACTGAGTGAGGCAGAAAGGCACTTAGGTGGCACTTTCAGAGTCCCGGCTGAACGGACAGATAACGGTGATAGCCTACTACAACTGCTGTGCTCTGATAACCACCTATTTTCAGCTAGCACAAATTTCAGACACAAAGAAAGACACTTTCTGACATGGCAACGACCAAGCTCAACTTAGCAATGGACACAGATGGACCACATTGCTATTAGTCATCGCTGGAGAGGATCGGTGGAAGACTGTCGCTCCTTTAGGAGTACGTGTTTGGATAGCGACCACGGGTTGGTCCGAGCGTGTATATACTTGCGTCTCAATGGACGTAGAAACAATCTGCCAACTAAACCACTACGAGTGCTGCTGGAAACCGGAAACACCAAAGCCGTGTCCAGTGAGAAGTTGGCTAGACAGTTATCGGAACAGAAGACTATCACTCATCCAGAAGAAGCTTGGTGCCATCCCCAGTCAGTCTGCTGTAAAAGCAGTGCTGAAGACCGTAGCCGATTCCAAAAGAGTGGCTAAAAACAGTCGGTGGATATCAGCAGCTTCTTCCAGACTAATGGATGCACGCGAACCCATCCCTGCCTGCAGGCTCTGAGTACAATGAAGAGCGAGCACAACTTTAAAGTAGATTGAGAAAAAGTCTACACAACGACCGCAAACGGTGGTGGGCAGCGAAGGCCAAAGAGATGGAAAAGGCGGCGGCGATTGGTAACAGTAGACAATTATCTAGACTTATTAGGAGACTGAGGGGAAAAGGTCAACAACAGTTAGTGAGGCTATAGCAGAGAAGGACGGATCTGCGACTCATTGGCAGTTGAGACGACTCGAACGATGGCCAGAAAACTTCGAAGAACAGTTTAACTGGCCTTTAGCCATCATTACGCTGCCCGCTATCCAGTCAGATCCTGAATGGGACATTGAGATAGACCCCCAACACTAGCAGAAGTCGAGAAAGCGGTAGGTAACCTGAAACGAGGAACGGCAGCAGGACCAGACGAACTAACTCCTAAGGTATACAAGGATGCTGGTAAGGTGCTCTTGGTCAGGCTAACGGAAGTGTTAACCAGTATATAGGAATCAAATACGATCCCCTCTGACTGGTCTAAATCACTGATTATTCCAGTCTTCAAGAGAGGCGAGAAGTCCTCACAGTGCGCCAGGTTCTGGAACACAAACGCGCTTACCGACGTCCGACACTAGCTGTATTTCTCGACCTGAAGGCGGAGGCATTCAACTTCGTCGACCGAGAAGTCTTATGGCAATGTCTCTCACTGAAAGGTGTGGCGAGTAAGTACATCACCTTATTGAAGGCCCTCTACTCGAACACTTGTGGGCGTGTTAAAGTCTATGGCGAGATGTCCAGGAAGCTATGCTCATCGATTGGTGTCTGTCAGGGGTGCCCACTCTCTCCATTCTTATTCAATTTTATCATAGATATTCTTATGGAGGTCTCCCTCTCGTTATCTGGCTAAAGAGGTTGACCTAATCGCAGTAGAATTTTTGTTAGACCTAGAATACACAGATGACATAGTCCTGTTAGGTGAAGACTCTGACAAGATGCAGAGTCTTCTGAATACTTTGAGTGGCAATTTGAGAATGTTCGGGATGCGGTTCTCACCACCTAAATGCAAATTGTTGCTTCAGGATCGGTCTTCAACGGTGCCCAGCTGCAGCTAACAATAGAGAGTGTAGTGATTGAGTGTGTCGACCTCTTCACTTACCTGGGAAGTAGGATCAGACGTGGTGGTGGCTCAGTGGCCGATGAAATCTCTGCACGGATACAAAAGGGTGGGCTGGTTTTCGCCAACTTACTCCATCTGTGGGGTCGCCGTGATATCCGATTGTCTATTAAATGTCGCGTATACTGCTAGCAGCCCTGTCTGTTCTGCTGTATGACTGTGAAACATGGCCATTGAAGATGGACGACGTGAGAAAGCTACAGGTGCTTGACCACCATTGCTTTCGTAGTGTGGGCCGTATTCCGTGGTGTCATCACGTGAGTAACGCAGAAGTCAGGTGTAGAGTTTTGGGGAGAAGAGGTAAATCAGTTGACGAGGTTATGAACCTTCATCGATTGAGATGGTTGGGACACATGTTACGTATGCCTAGTCGCCGTTTGCTTCGTCACACAATGTTGTCCAAAGAAGGTTCAGGCTGGAACAGAACTCGAGGCGGCCAGGCTAAAACATGGCATCAATGTATGCAGTCTTTGACTGTTGGTTTAAGCCATGTAGGGGGATTCAGACTAACCGGCTGGGGTCTGTGAGACAGGGACCAGTGAATGGAGACTCTAGGTGATATGGCTCAGAATCGTAGTCAGTGGCGCACATATAGACACACATTATTCTCATCTTAACGGTGCTATACCGAATCTCACCATTTTCTAATTCTTCCTTTCTCTCTTGTAGTACTTTATATTTCTTTTGACTGAATTTTCTTTCCTTCATCTTGCACTTCACTGCCTTGTTACTTGATGTACTGATATGAGCTGTGGCAACTCGGACCGTTACGCAGTAATGCCTGGTCCTATGCTGACTTGGATGGATGGGTGAGTCAGTATTATTATTATGATCATTGTCAGTGTAAACAGTATGATTTCATACAATCAACTGTTGAGTCAAAAAAAAGACACAACAGTTTCACTACAAAATGTCACTAAAACTACAGTAAGCAGTTTTTATGAACTCAATTACCACATAGAAATTAGCAAGAGAGTGTGTATAAGTAAGAATATCTATAAATGAGCAGTTACAGTAATGCTGTTTGACGTAGCCTTGCCAGGTCATATGTTGACTGATACTATATATATATATATATATATATATATATATATATATATATATATATAGTCCAAAATTTAAAGAAATCAAAAGTCAAGACCATCAGATGAAATCATATAAAATATAGGCATGTAAGTAATATATGGTCCATGCAAAACTTTGTACTCAGAATAACTATTATTAGACTGTGATACTTAATAACCAGATAATCCAACTCGTTCAGTTAAAGTTATATTTAAACTGTTGAAGTATAACGATTTATATCTTGACAAGGATCAGAATTAATAATAGCGGCGAAGACACACATTTTAATTCTTCTACATTTAATTACTTGGTAGAATATGTATCCTCCTGTTTTATGGCTTTTATTTGTTGTTATACACACCTCGATGTACTGACTGAAGATTTAGTAAATCGGACAGTCTTACGGTGATACCAGATTTCATGCTGATAGTTGTTCACTAGCCCATCTGAATTCCATTTACTGCTTTGTAATGAACCAAATTATGTCAAGGTCACACACTAAGATCTTCATTATACAGAAACCCTTTACCCAGTATGTGGAAGAGTCAAACATATTTAAACACCGTACATGGAAACCAACGATTTTTTAAATGCAAAAGCTTAGCTTGCCTCGGTGGGTATATCTCTGCACAAATGTCACGTAAATTCATTTTGAGAATCATATTATTAAGAAGCAACGTTTATACTTAACTTACTCGTACATCAATAATATTTCGCATAGACATTAACAAAATATATGATTACAAATAAAATAACTTTAAAGAAAAGGTGAATTACAGTAGACTGGTCAGAATCCGGAGGAAATTTTGTTTTCACTCGACGTATCATTTTACGCCTTTTATTCTCAGAAAATCCAGCATATGCAAGTAGTGAATTAGCAAACTGAACCTCAGTTATTTTGCCGTCTTTCGGTTCAGATCTTTCAAACTGAAATTAACATAAAATATTTTCTTTAGCAGGTATACATGATAAACTTTGTAGTGCTTTTTAAAGAAAGTCATATTTAAATAAACGAAGTTATTTGAAGTGATGAACAAAAAAAACAATAGTTTCTGTAACTACCCGCAACATTAAACAATTTCCATATCAAGTTTAAAGCAACTGGTCCGTTTGATAAATTTAAACAGAGTAATGAGAAGACGAAGATTATCTGAAACATGTGATGTATTAGCGCTATACATTTCGAACAATCTGATTACACATGGACTTGTCGAACTATTTATGTTTCAGATAATCTTCATCTTCTCATTAAATTCTATATCAAGGTTATATGTAATGCGTATTTTCATTAATTTGATGGTAAAATCTTGTTTTCAGGGGATGTTAACACTATTGGGAGGGAACCATAATTGACAGAAATGAATGACTAACAATGTGTGCCACAGAAATAAGGAAGTAGAGTATGCAGTGTGTAAATGTATTTTATTAATAAGGAAATTTGGGGTTATCGACTGGTCACGGGAAAGTAAGCTAAGTTCATCAAGTATGTTGCATTATATCTTCCGTATATTATGAAAATGAAATTGTTTGAGGTTGAAAAGAATTTATGAAATGAATTTATTCTCTTGCGGTTTAATGCATTTTACTGCTCTACTACAATTTATAAAAGCAGAAAACTGCATGGGAGTGTTTCCAATTTCGAGTAAAAATAAGTAAGATAACCATAAAGTAATAATTACAGATACGGATACCAGCATCACCGGTGCAAAGTATAGCTATGACTGATCAGTGGTAGTTTATAAAATTACACAGAACTTCAAGAAGTATTATTTCACACAGTACTTTTTAATTTGCAAAGTAGTAATAAGGTGTTTGTTTGTACAAACTACTATGCAGGTAGAAAGTAAACACCACTTATTCAACTGTATTCATCAAACCAAAAATATTTACTAGCAATTATCTTAAAATAACTTGCTAAAGCATTACACAATAACCCAACTTTATGCTAGGAGAAGTTTGTATACTATGAAATGTGTGGACAGTTCCGATGATAAAAAATTTACGGATTGCCTTCGTTTAAAACCTGACACAATGATGCATTTATTCAAGAATAAGTGTGTTGAACTATATAATAAGTTTCAAAAGTACTAGCTTTCGAAATATATTTTCAGATTTATAACCCAAAGTATGCAGATGCTGAGTTTAACTGTCGTAAAAACTAGTTAGCAAAAGTATAGTTGCTTAAAGTTTAAAACGCTCAATTTTTTTTGAAAGTTGTTGTCAGATGTTAAGTGGAAGCAAGTCGCTACTTTTTTTATATTTTACAATTTAATTACACATAGATGATCAAGTGATACAATGTGGGAAAAATATTCACATTTCTGACAGAAATATAAGTTGCAACACTAACTTCTAAATGAATAATCTCCTCTTGTAAATCAGAATGGAATTTGAGAAATTTACTAATTGGTAGTTTTTGATCACCATTCGGACCAAAGAAATAGCGTTTCAAAGCACTATTGCCACCCGGTTTTAAGATGCATCCGGTCGTTGAATGATCACGATGACGACGACCCACAGAAGTTGTTCCCATAATAACAGAACGTACCTGTCACAGAGACACAAAATAAATGTAGATAAACATTTGACATAAAAATTTGTGCCGTAGTACCCCTCACTATAGTATACTGAATGTAGGTAATTTTCATAGGTAACAGAAAGTGAAACTTTTACTGAACAATCTACATTAACAGAGTCAGTGTGAAAGTTTACTGTATCAAATCTTAAAAGACAGGAAAAAGTAATCGGTCAAAAAATGAACACCACCTAGTACCCATGACACTTTTTTGGGCTTTGAAAGCAGATGTGAGTAACTGTTTCCATTCTCTAACTGATGTCAGTCCAAGATGAATACTAGCTTGAAAGCTATATCTGTTGTTGAATTAATACCCTAAACGAATCACGGATATATATAAAATAATAAAAAGTACTAATAATCCGATTTTAACAAGTCAACTAACATATATTCAACGTCTTATATGGAAACACTTTTACAGAAGTTATGGAAAATATGACAAAGTAGCTAGCTACTAATTCGTGTTAAGTAAAGTCTATTGATCAAGTGACACAATGTCTTTACTAAGTTGCGAAAATGCTAATGCGATGTATTGTACGTAATAAGGTCTTAGCCGCTAATTAAACAGCTTACCAGAACGTCTCGTGTTGAGCTACACATTAGACTAAACCAGTGAGATATTATGAGTTTTTCAGAACATACGCAAAATTCTAATTAGATATAGATGACAAAAAACATAACTCAACAGCCACATACAAGCTACGGACCATATATTGCGGGGAAGCTGATGACGTTACCTAAAAGCTAAACTCTCTGTCGGTAGAATGGCTCTCGAATGACTAATGCACTAAATATGATTTGAGTTTTTAAATTAAAGAATGGAAGTTAACAAGCAAAATATGTGTAGATTCGGAAATTTTTTTGATCATCACCAAACCATTGAGAGGAAGGTTGACATGAAAAGCAGATATACAAATAAACTTGGAAAAGAACCAACAGTCAAATTTTCAACGTAGACTTACAACTTCAAACTCGTCACTATCCAGTTCCCCATCACCATTGATGTCAAACATACGAAAAGCTATTTCAAATTGTCGACGAGGAGCTTAAAATAACCACAAACGGAAGATCAGTATGGATAGTATCACTCCTATTACTTATGATGCAAAAAAACGGATTGATATATGATTTAGGGGAAGCTTTCTGAACTAAAAGTCACCATATCTACGAAAATAGGTATCATTCATTATATGTAACATAGACACGACTAATACATAGTCCACAAATGCAAACTTGAATGGGATATTAAATATGATCAAGTTTTGCGAAAACCACCTGAGATCAGAAAACTATTATCTTCACGAAAAAGGAATCAACATTGATGTTCATATACCCAAACTGATGTTCTAAATATCTTCAAGCGATTAAAAAACTTGGTTTGATTTAATCCTGTCATTGGGATCAACACAAAAAATAGTATCCAACAGCAGTGTGCTTATGAATGCTTAACCTTCAAGCTTCTGCTTTTGTTAATTTAATATGAACCAGTATCGGGAAAAACGCTTAAGAAGTCCGAAAACTGTGTAAATAAAACACAACCCACGGATTTAATCTAGGGTTCACTATATAATCTTTTTTAATGTTGACAAGAAAAATGACGCTGATATGTTGACATACTGAAGTCAGGGACTGAGTCTATGATATTTCCAATTAAACTCAGAGACTTATATCAAAAACTTTTAAAACTGTGAGACAAGGTAGGCTAAGTGACATTCACTGAAAGCAACAACCTTTAATCTTTGGTTAATAAAAATCAACCACTGATGCCACTTGGCGTTTACTATGTGTATATGGTAAAATTATCTATTTTTAGACAGATACTAAATAAAGTTTCAGCCCACCATCATCAATTTCACACAGCAGAGTATATACGAAAACCAACTAAAACAACTATATTGACAATAAATATTTATTGAATAGTAGTTATGATCTGAAGAAACTTACTAGACAGTACAGTTAGTAGAAATATGAAGTCAGTAAATGTGATTAAAGCTTGATCACAAAGTCGATAAAACACTGACTCTTTTGGTATATCTAAATGCAATTTCTCAGCCTTTTAAGAAAAACAAACAAGACAAAGATATTTAGAGTATTTAAATATTCAATTAACAGTTTGTGAAGAGAAATTCATACTTCATTCTGTGAAACAAATTCATGTTCTTTCACTTTTTTTCATCCAAATGTTTAGAAGACTGCCACTCTCACTACAGTCGGAAATTGTGAACCAATGAACTTTTATGCAGGGTTACGTGTTATTGGATTCTTGATTCATTTCTGAGCATGTCAGACATTGGATAGAATAGCAGTGGACTACCGAGTACTTTACATGACTTTATTCAATTGGTCGAGGGTGTGAACCCTATTTCACATGCCAAGATTTATGGAACCACACAGTATCAAGTTATGTGCAACATGAAGTTTCATGTGGTTGCCACGATGCGTATTGCATTATATTTTGGAAATAATGGAGAATATTTGTAGCTCAGGTGGATGGTCTTGGTTGTATTGTGTTCTCTGAGCTGGATTGTTTAAACAATCCAGCTCAGAGAACACAATACAACCAAGAGTATTATATTTTCGTTTCATCTAGCAACAAACTTTCTACTTGCATGCCTGGTTAATGTTGATGAGTCTAGTGACTAGAAAATACCACTCAAAAATATGCTGGAACCTGCAGTTTGGAACTTTTGAACACAAACTAAAATCAGCTACCAAGAACATGACTGAAGTTTATCATATATTCTGTAAAATAGCACTGAAAAGAAGAGATAACACCATAAACATCACCACCAAGTCACAAACCATCATACGACGACAAATTCCAAAATGTATTAACTCTCACCATACTAAATGCTAAAAATAAGGCCAGTGTCAACTGATAACTGCTACCTTGACGTGGTGGACAAGCTTGCATATCAAAATGATCCAACGACCATCACTAGCCGTCTCTTTTTTTGAAGTCCTATCAATACCATAAAAGTCTGTTGGATAGCCCTAAAACAAAAATAAATTACTGTCATGATGGTAAATAGCTATGCTATGATGGAGGTCCGAGGGCTAAGTCGTATTGCTAGCCAAATGATGCATGACGGCAATAAGGTACTTCTCATCCAGTCCATGCTTACGCCAACTTGCTTATAAAGAAAAAGGGAGTTAAAAAATTCCACGCTCTTCCTCCTCCCTGTCATGTGGTCTTTCGGTGCTGGCAGTATGGATCTAACAGTCCGATTCAAAAAGACAACAGTTAATTGTCAAGCTTGCAGAAAGACCATGTGTGACCACAAGATGTCCTTGAGGCTTAGAGGTCATGCACCACTATTACAATTTTTTTGTCATATATTTCAAGAAGTAATTTTCAACGGCCTGAATACCTGGGAAGTGTCGACCATCTCCACATCTTTATCATCACTCAAATTTCCTCTGATCAATATCAACCTCCGGCATCCTTGCATTCTAACTGCCCTTCACATTTCTCACTACATACTCTTAAGTTACCTTTCATTCATTTGAACTTCGCAGTCCTTGATAACAATTTAAGTTCATGGAACAGAAGCATTCGACTCCTGAAGGAGAATTTCAAGCACCACGTGGGAACATCTAATATCCGCACCATCCACTGGATCGGACAACAAGAAACATTTAGCATCCTGGCACGTATGTATGTCATTTTTGTGAGACACACATACAGTATCCTAACGTGATACCTGATCAAACCAAAAGCGGGCTATTTTGAAAGTATGATTGTCGAACAAGGCCACTAAATGTGTAGTACAAGAGAAGGTCTTCGAAGTTCAACCACCGTTGTTTTCCTAGTAAAAGCCTTGTGTCGTGGTGCTGCCATGTCAGTAATGAAAAAGTCAGGGTGGAGTTTTAAGTAGAAGAAAGTTAGTTGATTAGGTTGTAAACCATCATCGACTCCGATTGCTAGTTATCGTCTGCTCCATTGAGCAAATTGGTTACAATGGCACAGGTGTATTAACTCTTTGACGTCTTCTAGTGCTCGAACATTTTCACTAACCTTTATTTCCGTATTCCTTTTAGTCTAATACGCTTTTGTCCACCACTCTTTTCTCCCCACTTGTTTTATGCATGCTACTGTGATTTGTGACAGCTTGAACCGATGCACCTCTGTGCAATGTTCTACATTGATTATTTCTGTCTGCTCATGGAGTAATGCAAGCTACGGTTAACCTAGATTGGTAAAAGGTTAGACACGGTTAGACTGACACAAGGCATTAGTTCACTAAGTCTTCAACTGTTGGTCTGAGCTGAACAGACTTTCAGACTGGGGTCTGAGAAAAAACAGAAACCAGTGAGTGAAGAATCTGGGTAATACGATGCAGAATCAACAGCAATGGTGGAGATTGTTTTACTTTTATTCGTTATATCGAATTTTACTATCGTCCCATTCCTATGTGATCTTTTTGCACGACATTTTTTCGTTTTGACTACTTTCTTTATTCTTTTGCATTTCATTTTGATACTTTCTGGCTTGGTGTGTTGATATTAAGTGTGGCAACGTGGACTATTACGCAGTAATGTCCTATGTTGGTACTGACTGACTGGGTGTAAAACTTTATTAGTTAGTGATGTTTTAATGAAACTTGACAAACCTAATAGATTGCTAAATTTTATTCGGAAACAACAATTCCCGATTAGCATATCACTTCGAAGTTTTTAAACTTACAAAAGGTTAAGACTGATAGAATGCATAACATTTGAAATAATAAACGACTAACCTTGTTTTGGAAGTAAACCATTCCAGTCTACATATCGAAAAAAAGATCAAAGATTTCAATTAATAAGCAACGGACCCATGAGATGAAGTTTCATTTTATAAATGACGATGTTAGAGAAAATTAACAGCAACAAAGTATGGTCTGAACTTCATCTGGTATGGTACGGGGAAATAACAAACTCAACCTCCACAATAATGTGTGAAACTGTTGATTACAGATCCATTTTATGCTTTCCAACATTATTAGGATGAAACCTAGATTCAGAGAACTGATGGAGGTAAACATGGTCTTAAATACGGATCTACGTATTTCTGTATCTATCTACCTATGTATCAAAATCTTTTGTCATCCCAGGTAAACTGAACCGCAGAAATATTTCGCATAGTCCTTATTTAACTACAGAAGATGAAAAGATTGAATACAAGGATAGTTTCACCCACTTAGAATTGCTTTTTCTCACATTGCCAAGAAGTAACATTCACTATCTTAATAGGATAGGGGTATTTTCTGAAAGAATTAGGCAAAAGTATGTCCAGATTTCTAAAAGAAAATCTACAGTGGTATTCGGGAGTTCTAGGATGCTTAAGCGATAGTTGGTATATTAAACTGTATTATACACCAGCACGTGTACAAATCCGACTCCATATGGTTGCATCGTAGATCAAACTTGTGAATAAAGCGTTAGAGAAATGGTTGATCAAGACAATCGCCCACCTCGGCTCAGTTTAAAACCTCAAAAGTGAAAAAACTAGTTTCGAAATTGACGACACATATCATCAATGGATGAGAAGTTTAGAAGTATTCATTTGAATCAATTGAGTTCGTCAAACAAAACAAACTGATTCACACAGAGTACAGGTAATTCGCGTGCTTACGGTCGAATTTATTATCGATTTATCTGTGTACATTAAACTCTGAGCCAAACTGTTCACACTGCATTGTCACTGTTGGATTCAAGCTAATTCTATCACAGTGGGATTGTAGTTATTTGAAAAAGGCACTCCACTTACGAGCAGTACGTTATTGGTACAAAACCCGTTTCCCTTACAAACGTTTAGACTGCCAAGTAACATCAGTATTTATGGCAGAAAATATGATTTACACACACGTACAACCCACTTGCAGTCATTAAGTGAACTTGTTTACGACATCATTGCCACTGTTGTTCAAGCTTAAGAAATTCACGAAAGCCTGTTACAAGCACCTTGAGGCCTTCTAAATATAGTCTTTTAGCATAAATTGGCCGCTAACATTCAAAATACCATCCTTAGAAATATATTTTGTCATTTCGTCTACGTTGTTTATTAACACAATTTCAGATTGCTAACACTGAAGCTGTCACGAAGTGACAATATCAGAGTGAACATAAGTGTCAGGTTCAAACACTTAGAAGCACTGGAAGTAAACCAAAGTAGCATCTGAAACAAATTCGTCCTGCTATACTTGAATAGTATGGTAGTATACCGCTCACATTAGTTGGAACATATCATATAAGTCCTACTCACTACATTCAATTGGTGCTGTGAATTTTCTACAAGCGAGATAGCTAAACAGATAGGAAAATCAATCAACGTAAAACTTCGCAAAGAAGCACATAGGATCAAGTTGCTATGTTTCACAGAAGCATGCAAAGAACAAGTACATAGAAAAAGACTGAAACCAAAAGTGCATTTAAGGAGACGAAATTTAAAAGGACGATTGGTTAAAAAAGTTAAAACTTTGGAAGACGTCAAAGAGTGAATACACCTGCATCATTGGAACTGAATTTCAGCAATGTCACCGAAGGTTTCAAACCCCTGATTTCCACCTTCTGTGGGACCTCACTCAAACAGCCTACATTTCGTCACAGGACCCAGACCAACAGCCAGATACTTCATGTACTTGTGCCACATCCTGAGTCTTCTTCTCCAAACCAATCCAACTTCTGCTAACAATGAACGTCGAAGTCGGAAGTACTTCGGTATGCCCAACACATGCCCAGGCCACCTTAGTAGCTGGACATCCACAACCTCATCGATCGACTACCTTTCTCATTCCTAGTACTCTCCGTTTAACCTCAACACAGCACATGCAGCCATTCCGCCATAAGCGAGTAATGCTACAAAGACATCTGTGATCAATGAAGAGCGACAGCAACTTAAAGGTGAATTGACCAAGAATCTTCGCAATGATTGTGTGCAGTGGTGGGTGACGACAGCGAGAGAGGGGAAGAAAGAATCAGTATTGAGTAGTACCCATCAACTACTTAGGCGTATTAGAGATAACCGTAAGAAGAAGCCGACTGTTACTGAAACTGTTATGATACACGCCATATATTAACGATACAATGTTCCAAAGCGATACGACTAACGATAGAACAATGACTTCTGTACTACGTATTCAGCTGACACCAGAAGATGGGATTGAAAGTACATTTACTTTAACCGAATCATAATAGCTGAAAATTCGGTCGTTTATATATTCTTGATGGCCTTGGCCAGGAAAAACGAAATTGCGTATTGAAAGTGTAAAAACGGACTAATCAGCGTTCAGTATCCTAAACTGAGGTAACGTAATAAGTAACACAGCATAGTGCGAAAAGAGCCGAAAAAAGGTTTAAATTTTACAATGATAATATAAACATATCATAAGTTATTTTTTCTTAGGGATTAGGCATCCCAAACAGAAACCATTACCGAAAACGATGGTGGGTGGAATATTTTGGAGCACAATTCAACTGGTTCTCAGCAAAGCTTCAGTTGTCCTGCTCCCATCCTGAAGCTGAATGGCATGTAGATGTTGGTCCTCCAACTCATCTTGAAGTTGAGAAAGCTGTTTCACACCAAAAACGTTACAAAGTACCAGGAGCTGACAGTTTGCCACTAGAAGCTTCTAACGATGTAGGTAGGGAATTGACGATTCAAGTGACGGAGGTACTAGATAGTGTATGCGAAACAAGGGTAATGCCGTCAGATTGGTTTACTTCAATGGTCATGCCAGTCTATAAGAAGGGAGAAATATATTCCTGTGACAACCATAGGGGAATTAGTCTGACTGATATCGTGATCAAGATCCTTGGGTCCATCGTTATCTGACGCCAAACTGGAGATCGAAAAAACAAGGCAGGTTGCAAACACGGATGAAGGTGCATTAGTTGTATTTTTACCCTCCGATAAGTCCTGGAACACAGGCATAATTAGCGGCGGCCGATACTACCCATATTTATTGACCTGAAGGAGGCATTTAACTGTCGACCGTGAGGGACTATCGCAGTTTCTGACTGTGATGGGAGTGCTGATCAATTATGTAATGCTTACCAAAGCTCTCTACTCGAACTCAAACAGCCTTGTTAGGGCTTGAGGAGAGTTGTCATGAGAATGGACGACAACGAGTGGTGCCAGATAGGGATGCCTTCTGTCAGTTTCTGTTTTACTTTGCCATAGATGTATTGATGGATATAACCTCAGTTACGTCTGGATTCACAAGGATTGACCTACTAGCTGGAGGTCATCTGGTTGACTTGGAGTATGCAGACGATAGTCTGCCTGGGTTAAGACGATGACAAAAACTAGGGTCATCTGGAAGTGTTGAGCAGAAGTCTGAACATATATGACATGTATCTCGCAGCTGTCAAGTGAAGGATGATACGCCAAGACTGGTCTGCTGCAAGCACTCCCAGTTTAATGATAGGGAGTGGAGTGGCGGAATATGTCAACCACTTCACTTACTTGGGGAGTTGCATCAGTTCGAACGGTCTGGTTGCTGACGAAATCTCAGCTCGGAAACAGAAGGCCCATCTAACATTTGCCAACTCGTGTCAACTGTAGTGCCGAAGAGATACCTGGTAACCTTTTAAATTACGGGTATTGTACGCTTCAGTTCGTTCTGTTCTGTTATTCAGCTTTGATAGGTGGCTGTCAAAGAAGAAGATATGGGACGCTGCGGGATTTTGATCGCAGGTATTTTCGTAAGACTGCTCGCACTTGGTGGATTCACCATGTAAGCAATGTTGGGGTAAGGTGAAGAGTATTAAGCAACACAAGCTAGGCGATTGATGGGGGATGTGAACCATCATCGTCTAACGTGGCTTGGACATACTGTGCATGCTTAGTCACCGCCTACCTCGACGAAATATGCTAAGAAAAATTGGACTAGGTTGGAAGAGGCGTCAGGGTGATCAGACAAAGCCGTAGCACTAGTCCATGATGTCTTTGACTGTTGGCCTGAGCCAAGTGAAGAAATGTAGACTGTCCGGTTAAAACCCTCGAGATGAAAGGAATCAGCGGTTGAGGATTCTTAATAAAATGGCTGAAAATCGATAAAAATGGTGCAGATGTATTCACTCTTTGATGCCTTCTAAAACATGAAATATGTTCACAGTAACCTTTATCTTCGAATTACTTGCCCTCTCACAAAACTTTGTTCGGTATGATGTCACTTATTCTATCCACACTTTCCTCGTATACTCTGAGGTGTGATAAATTGAATCAATGCACTTGTGTGCAAAGTCCTACGTTGATTTTGTGTCAGTCTGAAACCTGGCCTCTCCAGGCTGAGGATGTCCTATGACTGAATTTTCGGTTACCATTATTTCCGCGAGATTACTTGTACCCGGTGTTAACATTATGTAAGTATCTTCTGAGTGGAACGGTGTTTTTTCAGTACGATGATGATTGTCACTTATTGAGTACGGTCATCTCAAAACACTGGCTTCGGTGGCTTAGACATGTCGCGTGTGTGCTCCCAGCTGTTCGAACACCTCTCACTGTTCTCTTGCCTTGGGGCTGGTTAGAAGAAGTGGAAAGATGACCGATGTATGACGTGCGATTGAATATAGTTGTGTTGGGTTGACATCAATAGGTGTCTCACGACTTCCTGGGTGTGGTCCTACACATCATTTAATCCAGTGGCTGAAGACAATAGCGAACAAGGTTCAGAATCAGAACTAATGGCGATAATGCTGCAGTTTTCTCTTTTCTTCTGTTACTGATAGTAAAATGAAAATGGGGAATGCTCTTTTGAATCTATCTTTGAAACTGTATTTTTAA